GGGGGGGGGGGGGGGGGGGGGGGGGGGGGGGGGGGGGGGGGGGGGGGGGGGGGGGGGGGGGGGGGGGGGGGGGGGGAGGAAAAACACGTATAATCGATACGCAGATAGAGGTAGGTGGTGAATACCCGCGACAATGACCGATTTCTTCGTACTTCCAGTTGACAACAGGAAGCTATCCGGTGTTCTTCAACATTTAAATACGCAGTACCCAGCATCCCACCCCGACCATCCCACGAGACAGGAAAACCTTGATCGCCGTCGACACGCTACGACATCACCGGTCGAAGTGAGAGCCCCGGCCGGCCAAAAGAAAAACACGATGATGGTGGCAGACGCCATCCGCAACCCTACACCCAACAGCACAACAACAACAGCAGTAGCCAGGCGATGACGAACGCCGACGTCTCGACCACGATCGATCCATCCCTTCGCCCGCCTCAGTGTTACTAAAATGGTATGTAGACAGAAAATTAAAGCCAAGCCATCAAGATGAGCGTCGTTCGCGAAACACTCATCTACTACTCTCCGGCCTTCAGCTGGGCCAACTCCTCGAGCAACGCCCACTGCGCGTCAGCCTTCGCCCGCCGCCGGCCCCTCTCTTCCTCCTCCGCTACGTGCTGCTGATGACATCTGCGGCAACCAACAAAGAGGGGTTGATATTAGTACTGGGGTACCTCGGATGCATGGCCGAAGCAGTGAGTCTTTTTCTCGAACACACCGGACACGTCGACATCAATTTCTGGGGTATGTAGACACTTTGCGGATGCATGGCCGCTGTGCGTCTCTCGACCGAAAGACCAATATCCAGTGCCGCTACCTACCACAAATATGAGAGGCCGGATCACACTAACCGTACCCCCGGGGGACAGCCACCCGCGACAACCAGTGGTCTAGGCAAGATTGACGAACGCGAGGCCTCCGCAAGGCTCAGGCCATGCTCACACAACAATGGCGTCTGCGAGAGAAAAAAAATGACCCCCCCCCCCCCCCCCCCCCCCCCCCCCCCCCCCCCCCCCCCCCCCCCCCCCCCC